TTTCTCCCCAAATTATTTTAGACATTATTCAAAATTATATCGTTTTCAATTCCGAAAAAATTAAAAAAATTGCTCGTTATCACCAATATGACTGCGTCCAAGAGACTTTAAAAACTATTGAAAATTCCTCTCAAAAAGGGGGAGTAAATAATCATACTACGGGCAGTGGAAAATCAGATACCATGGCTTTTTTGGCTAACCAATTACGCCATAAGTATTCCGGATGCACTATCATTGTTATTACTGACCGCGACGAGTTAGACCGGCAAATCTATGAACGCTTCCGAGAATATGCTGGAACTTTTTTCACTCTGGATGATTTAATAGTAATTGATAACATTAAAGAATTAAAAGAACAATTAGGAAAAGAAAGAAAAGGTAAAATAATTTTTACTCTCATTCAAAAGTTTCAGGAATTAACTGAATTTCATAATCCGAAAGGGCTTTTTGTGCTAATTGATGAGGCTCATCGTTCCCAAAATTTAGTGGCGGATGCTGAACAGAAAAAAGTAAGTTGGGCTTGGGAAATGCGACGAGTTTTCCCCCAAGCTTTTTTTCTAGGGTTTACTGCAACCCCGATTGCCGGAAAAACTTATGAAGAAATTGGACCTCGCATTCATACCTATTCAGTAAATCAGGCTCTACAAAATGAGATAGTAGTAAAGATAAAATATGAAAAAACTTATGAATATTTACCAAAAGTTTATTGAGATGAAGAAGAATTTGCCCAAGCGTTTCCCGAAAAAGAAGTAGTTTTTGATAAAAGAAAAAGCACTAAAAGTAAAAAAGATATTCTTTTTGAAAGTTCAGAAAGAGTTAAGATGATAAGTGATTTTTTTAAAAAAGACTACGAAAATTTTTCTCGGTTTCATTATCTAAAAAGTAAACCAAAAGTAATGTATATGGCTTACAATGTAGAAGCGGCCTATAAATTTTTTAAGGAATTACAAAAAGACCCAAATTATCAAAATAAAGCTTGCTTAATTGTTAGTAAACAGCATCATTATCAATCTTCTGAATTAATTAGTGCCATTGGCAAAGAGAAAGAAAATATTAGAGATTTTAAAAATCCGCGGTCAAATTTAAATATTGCGATAGTAGTGGATAAATTAACTACTGGTTTTAATATGGAAAATTTAGAGCGGATTTATTTAGACCAGCCCATCACTGCTCCCCATAATTTTTTCCAAAAAATATCGCGGGTTAATCGTAAATATGCTGACAAAGACCAAGGATTTATTGTTGATTTAGTAAATAATGAAGAAACTTACCAAAAAGTATTAGTGGAGTATTTTGAGGAAGCTGAGGAGGAAGAAAAAAAGCCCGGCAAAATAAAAAATTTATGAAACTTTTTTGCTGAGTTTCATTTGCCAGAAAAACTTTATCAATTACTTTTTGATTTCCGAAAAATTGATGAAAAGGATTTTCTTGATGAGGCTCTAAGTTATTGTTTAAGTTCCAAAAAGAGCGAAAAGGAAAGAAGAGAGTTTTTTACAGAAGCTAAATCATTGCGTTTAATATTGAGTTCGCAGTGATATAAGACAGGGGAGGAGAAGGAGAAACAAAAAAAAGATTTGGCCTTTGTGAATTGGTGCTCCCG